TGTTGTGCCCTTGCCGTTACCGCACTGCATTTCCACACTCTCCGTGCGTGAGTGTGTGTGTGTGCGTGGGTGGCTCTGCGTGGGGTGTGTGTGTGTGTACGAGTGTGAGAGCACTTTTCGCATTTTGTTCAATTACAAAATTTGCGGGGGCGGGGCATCCACACATTCATTTCAGATCGGGCGGAACCCAGGAAGAGTCGCTCTTTGATCAGTGTGAGCACTCGGCAATGTCTGAGGCAGCGGCGGCGGCTTGCACGTCGGTTGCCAACAGTGTTACGTCCGGAAGCGCCCAGGCCCAGGAGGGCAGTACGTCGCCATCACCGTCTTCGCCGCACACCTACACGATTCGCTCGATCCTGAAGACAGCCGTCGTTGCGGAATCGCCGGCACTGAACGAATCAACGAACACCGTCGAAAATGCGCTGACCCCACTGGCCGGCGCCGAGCCCACCATTTGGTCGGTCATTTTCCATCCACAAGCAAAAAATACCCTTTCGCATTTCTGCGCCACCTCATTTTGAGTTCCGGAAGTGAAACTTCTCCCCACAAAAGGCATGCTGCTGCTAGTGCGGGCGCGACCCCGCGCAGGCCTCTGCACGCTGCTAAGAGAAAAGCATGGCTATCCCCGCTTGCCTTTCCCACAAAAACCCTCACAGTTTATGCATCCTTTTTTGCGAATAGTACGAGGTGAGTCACAGTTCGCAGCGAACTGTCCTGCGCATTTCCTGCTGTGCGTGTTCGCCCGTTCCATCTACAGTTCCTCGAGGGAGAAACGGCTCATTCCACTCCACTGCCCTCTTCTCATTACATCCAGCTTCTGCTTCATCTGTCTCTGCAGAGATGGGTTTAAAGAGCACAGCGCTGTTTGATTCCTTCGAGGACATCGAAGCGCTGTTATTTATGTGCTCCGTGCCCCCTGAGTGCTGCTGCTGCTGCTGCTGAAATGCAACTGCATGCCGAGTGCAGCTCTGCTAAGCCTTCCTGTGCTGGGTTTTGTTAACCTCGGAGCAGGAGGTGGTACGCGTATACGGCGAACACAACGAGTTAGAAACAGAATTCAGCACATAAGTTTGGTAATGGTCGCTTGATAATGAACACCAAACAACCATGATTTCGTGGTTCGTTCAATTGACCTAAGTAATCTATAAATAGCAGTGTTCTCTAAAATTTCGACATTTAAGACTTAGGCAAATGCATGCGTTTTTGCTGACGTAAGGATGCGTGGGTGCACTGTATTGCGGGACGCTTCAGGCCATAAAAGCGCATTGCCAGACAAACCTTTGAGTTTTTACATATATCTTAGACAGCGGCTATGAGCGAAGCAGTGCTTGTTGCGTGGAAGAAGCATTTATACACTTTGAGCCGGGCAACTGCCTCCCCCGCGTCATTTGCGTATTGAAGTGCACTGGTACACATATTCCTTATTATCGTTTCTTCCTAGCCTCTTGTTTTGCACGTTCCACGTAAACAACTTTACGTTTAGCTGTGCCTTTCCGGCTTCGTATGCCCTCCGTGCCATTATGGATTTTTGGAACTGCTGCTGCTGCTCGTCCTCGTCGAATATTTGTATTACACTCGCATCTGATTTGTTCGCCTGCTTTCTGACTAATAAAGATTT